CTCTCTCTCTCTCTCTCTCTCTCTCTCTCTCTCTCTCTCTCTCTCTCTCTCTCACCCCTTCCTTTTTGAACTGATAGTCATCGCTCTTGGAGCTTCTTCTCCCCGTACCAGTGACGTCAACCGCCTGCGTCCGCGCGGACGGTCGACGCCCCCGCAAAGGGAGAAAGCTTAAAAGTTCATCATCTTCCCTCGACGCACCCACTTTGGAGAGAGAAGAATTGCGTCGATTGTTGTATGGATTCAGTGTTGGTTCGGATGACCGGGAACGCGGGATCTTGCCCGTGTTCATCGCGTGCCTCCGACCGTCTCATCTCGCTACCGACCTTCCCCATCACAGATGACGACAGCGTCTACTGCGATGCGAACGTACGGCGCGCGCTGAGGCGGACGGAGCAAGTGTGTTGGCGAGACCCGCCTCGGGCGTGTGATATGAAGGGGAACGGGTTTGTCTTGATTGATCGTTTTGATCCCCCGACTCTAATATTGCCTTACACGGGTTTAACGGTGTTGCCCTGGTCGACCGCTCACGCCGCGTGGCGCCCGCAGTTTGATTGTCGCTGGTGTCGCCAGGGGGGCTCGTGTTCTTGGCGACGGCTGGTCCTGGGTTAAGAGGGAGCGACATGTTTCCCCGAGCTTTCCCGTAGTGCGGGGATGCTGCCCGCGCAATTTCGAATTCGGATGTCGACAAGTCCTCCCGCCGCGTTACCCTCCTAGAAACTTTTATGCGGACTCTGTGAGTCCGACGCTGAGGCTTGACGGCCTCGAACCAACCACCTCTACAGCAAAGACCCGAGGGTTCGGCCACTTCGTGAGAACCGAGGATGAGGCCTGAAGGCTTCGAACCCACCACCTATCCCCCAAGCCCCTGACGGCCGAAGTTTTGTCTTCCGCCGCCATGGCCCTCCCCCCTTTATGCCTTTTCCCGTCCTGATGCACGACGACAGTTCGTTTTTGCGGAAACCTTTTTGATTTTATCGTCTCGGAGTGATCCAACCCCCACGGGACTTCGCGGCGACAGTTCGACTCCGGAGAAAACCTCTGGCACGAAACGAGGGCCTCCCGTTCCGTCCAGGAGACTCAACCCTTACGGCCAAAAATCCTCGGCCACGCCCCTCCTAAGACTCTGATCGGCGACCCCGTACGGGACACCGCGAGGGGGCGTGAGGTTGGTATCAGAGCTGATTCGTTTCGGCTCCGAGGTTTTCCTAGGACAATTACCCTGTTTTAAAGTTTCTCCTTTTTTCTTTTTGATCTTTTCATTAGATTTTTCACATTTTTGAGTAGGCTGGCTCCCCGTCGACGGAGGCCCGCGAATAGCAATCAAAACCGAGCGACAGGCCGGGCTCGAAACCCGCCTCCCGCGATGGTGGAACCCGGAATTGGGGGTGAAAACGACGGCGACAACCACGCGGGGATGGCCAATCATCCCCTGTGCTTTGTACCTCCTCCTTTTGAAGTTCCCATTTTCTCCGAAGACGACACCGACCCTCTCACCTGGCTAGGTGCCTTGAAAGCCCAGGGCTGGTCGGATCAGTTGCTCCGAGAACGAATTCCCGGAAGAATTGTCGGAACCGCATTTGAGTGGTATGGACATAACCTCTTCACCAATTGGGCAGCCTTCCAGAGGAAATTCCTCGATAGGTTTGATCACATCGCACCAGGTCAATGCCTCCGTTTAATAAAGGAATAAACGCAGCAGCCTCGGGAGACCTTGGCCAGATATGCTGAACGTTTTACGTACTTAGCCGAACGCTCCGGGGTGGACGAGAAAATGGTACGGACTGATTTCGTCAGAGGACTGTCAGATTCTCGTCTGCGGAAAAA